TAACTACTAGTACTAGATTCAACAGGCAACAAATAAGTAATAACCACCACAAATTGGTATTATTTTGATATATTCTAGTTTTTAATTTAATTAAATTATTCCTAAAAAGAATTATGAATTGTTGCATATCTTAGTAAACCTAAAATGTCTAATTAGTCAGACTTTTACTCTGCGTATTGTCCAACGTTTCACAATTACATGTTTTCTAAGCACTATCTCTCTTACTCCACATTTTGATTTTTCATCTCCTTCCTCTTTCTAAACTTCAACTTTATCTTCTCTCTAACCAAACAACACCTCCATCTCCTAAACCTTCCGTACAAGTAAAATGACTTTATTTTCTTAGTGTATTAATTTTATTTTATTCTTTGTCTTCGAAACTTTTTTTTTTTCTGTTTGGAATCTATTATATCTTCATTTATATTTTGATGTTTCATAGATTGAATATTTTATTTTTTTGTTTCTCTTCTATTTTCTTCTTCATATCTATAAAAGTAAATGATGAATTTTTCATTAATTACTTTTGTTTTCTATTTCAAACTCTTTTTTTTCTTTCTTATGCTATTTTGTTATACGTTTTTAGGGTCAACATTTTCTGTTAACAAACACTTTTTATTTTTGATTTTCATTGTTAATGTAAGTCATTTTTACTTTTCTGATCAACATGCTCTAATGTTTTTTGATTTATTCTTATGAGGAATCTTCCTCCATACCCATTAATTATTATTACAATTTTTTTATATTTACTTATTTGTAATAGGTAACAAAATTATACATCAAGTTTAATAAATCTCAAAGATTGGTCAGATCTATTCTTATTCATTCAAGTAACAAATCTCAAATATGGGTCGAGTAACATATTTCTTCATTTTTTTAAAATCATTATCTTTTTTTCTCTTGTTCACCTACTTTAACACATTTCTGCTTTTATTTTTTAGAATGTAGATAGATCTGAAAATACCAAGAGGAAACGGGTATCAAAACAACATTAACAATGTTCACGGATTTGTGTTCTTGAGATTTAGAGTTTCTTGCAAATTTTTATCTCTTTCTCTTTCAAAACTTAAATTTGATTTGATGTTTCAATTAAAGTTCATATCTTTGTTGTCTTTTTATTCTCTTCTTTTTAAGATCTAAAAAACATTGTGGATGACATTTTGAATATGTAGTTAATAATAACAACAATGCTATCTTGACACCAAAAGCATACACTACACCGTATGCACTATTCACCAATACGATGAACAGTACATGAACAGTACGGAACAATGTCACAACTGTATGAACAATGCTCGTGAACAGTATTTGTGAATAGTTTTTTAAGTTATGAAACAAAGTTGGTTAATGAAGTATAAAAAGTTGGTTAATGACGTGATGAAATTGGTTAATAATTTTTAACAATAAATAAAGTTGGTTAATAATATGTAAAATGTTGGTTAATGGAGTTATGAAGTTGGTTAATCACACAATTTCATATTAGTATCATTTAATTTAAAAATAAAAAATAATTAATTTTTTATATTTTTTTTTAAATATATTTAATTTTATAATATTTTACTGTTCACCGTGGTAATCAGTGAAATACAGTCTAGCTGTAAAGAATGGTGTAAGAATATAATTTCTCTAATAATAAACCTAAAGTATATATCATCAACATCAGGTAATTTTATATTTGATTTTCAAACTTTTGTTATTTGATTTAAATTCTTTAGTTGCCAATTATGTATTATATATTTAATAACATTAGATCAAATGATTCATGTATTTGAAATATTTGAAGTTATAGTATTGAATGAATAGTCAATGAGTGAATTTTGAAGGATATTTTCTCAACTAATAAAATATTAAAAACAAATTATTATTTTTTCAAATTAACTATATAATTTAGAAATAAAAAATCAATTTATAATAAATTAAAAATAAAATAGTCTATTGTATAAAAAATATGTTAACGAAAAAAATGTTAATGACTTTTAGATTGATTCTAAATAAAAAAATAAAATTTAATAGACCTTTAGATTTGAAATATATGAGTATGCTGATAAAAGAAACTTTTGTTACATTTTATTTAGATTAAGTGGAATCAATTTATTATTTAAGTTTTTAATAATTAATTAATTAATTCACTTATGATAATTATAACATCTTATTTTCACTGAAAAATAAATTTTATTATCATCATTATAAATAATGGTTAATTTGCATTTAATATTATCTTAATCTTTTTATAAAAAATTTACTTTGATGCTATATTAATTTAAATGAGGCAATTACAAAAACTACATCGAAAAATCAAGTGTTTTTTTAGATAAAAGTTATACAAATATGTGTCATTTATCAATTAATATCAAATATGTTGATTCAATAATTTATAATGATACTATTCTAATTTTGATTTTGAATATCCATATCAATAGTTTAGTTTTTGTTTCTCATTTTAAAATTAGATTTTGATTTAATTTAATTTGTTATAAAACAAAAATAATATTTATTTACAAAAAAATATTTATTGTTAACTAAAATGTTTTTATAAATGATATTATTTATCACAATTAATATAATAAAATATATATGATTGAGCACAAAAATATTATTTGTCACTTATATACAACTATAATACGTAATTGATCTTACATGTGATTAAAAATAAATCGATGGTCAACAATAGGTCGTGATTTTTAAGATCAGGTGAGGAAAATTTGAAAGGTGTATCAGCAAGACACTCCGATACTAAAGTAGGTTCAAAGTAAAAGAAGACAAGTACAATAAGAAATATAATTGAATTGAATATCTGATCCTCCTTCAGAAGAGAGAAGGATATTTATAGAGAGTCTGCAGCGCTGGACCAACGGTCTCCATTATGAGCTGAGTGATCAAACCATAATAGATTACTATCAAGATTCCTACCTGGGGTAGGGAAGAGCAGTTCATACTCATCATCTGGGTCAACGTCTTTCCTACATTCTCCAAAAAATGGAAGACTTACCCGTTACGAAGGGCATAACATTTCTAGGAGATGCACGAGATCAGTTGGCCACGCGTCCTCGGGCGAGGAGCACATGAGAAATATGCTCTCCAACAACCATAATAGATTCGGCCTTTGCATTGGGCATTCTTCGACGTAGAGCTGAACCCAGACGGTGGGTCAGTCTCAGATTTAGTTCAGAACACAATTAAATACAGAAAATTATTTGACATCGACAACATAACAAATATTTGTCACAAAATACTTGAAGAAAACATAGACAAAAAAAATTCTTTACATACTGAACAAAAATATACTATTGATTCAAATATTTTTATATCCGAAAAAAAGTGTACACCTGATTCAAATACATTTATAAATAGTATTAAAATAAAAATAATATTTATACATGAAGATTAATACTTATTTGATTATATTTTGATTTAAATGCAAAATTAGAATTTCAAATTTTTTAAAAATGAAAATTTATCCCATTTTTTTTAAAACTATGTGAACAAATATGCGTGTTATATGAGACCAAATTTAATTATTAAATCTAATATTTAATATATATATATATATATATATATATATATATATATATATATATATATATATATATATATATATATATATATATATATATATATATATATATATATATATATATATATATATATATATATATATGAAAGATTAAAAATATGTCAACTTTTTATAAACTTGATAAGTGTATATTTAATTTTCATTTTTAAAAGATTAAAAGGAGCTTTAATGGTGTATAATTAATTTTACTGTGTTTGATTATTTTCTAAAATAGATTTGAATAGATCTTCTAATAATGAATTTTAAAGTAATAGTATTATACAAAAATAAATTTATCATTGATTCTAATATTTTTCAATTTATAAAAGTATTAAAAAATTAAATTTAACTTTAAGATTTAGAATTTAAAAAAAAAACTATTTTTAAATAAATTAGAAATTAATGAATAATTACAAAGTATGTATACTTTATACTAAAATAAATTTGATAAGTGTATCTTAATTTTTGATTTTTAAAAAAATCAAAAAATAATTTTAAATTTGTATAATTGATTTTAATGTGTTTATTATTTTTTAAATAGATATGACTAAATCTTTAAAAAAAAATTAAAATCAGTTTACGATCAAATAATTTATAAATAATGTGAAAGCAAAAAAAATATTTATGTAAAAAAAATATTATTATTTAAAATATTCATATATGAAGAAAATATAGACACAAATTTATTATCAATGTATAAGATATTAATAGCATGCATAGGCACGTATATTTTAATAGGTTTAAGAAACACTTTTATCAAATTGGGAAAAGTAATAAATATTCTATAGTATTTTATATCTATCATGGTATTAATATTCACTTTGATTTTATTTATATAAAAATATTATTTTTTAAATTTATTGAATAGACAATATATCTAATCAATATATTATTTAAATATGTTAGTTATTCAAATATAATATATTTAAGTAATAAAGTATTCTTATAAATAAAATTAAAAAACATATATTAATTTTTTCTCAATTCAAATATTTCAAAGATTTGTAATAATAGACTTTTCATGCATTTGACACCGAAAACTAATCTAATGCCAAGTGGAAAATATGATAATTGCTGTCAATTATGAAAAGGACTCATAAGAATCGCACACTATTACATTTAGACTAAAGTTTGCAATTTGATAGTGACATGATTAACAAAATGACAAAAAAATAATATCTATTTCTAACACTTTTATACAAAAAATAAATTAATCTATCAATTAATTTTCATTCATTATTATAAAATAACTAAATTATTTGTTGCCGAATTGGACCACAAAAAATTGTGACGACCAAATTGAATTTTTGAAACATTATTGTTATTTTAGATGTAGCTACTCTTTCACACCCAAAACAAAGAAAAAAACATTCAAAAGAACATAGCATAATAACTAAGATAATTCTATTAATGCAGAAATTGAAGAAGAAACATCCTCTTGTTCTCAGACATGTTACTGTTACTCTTTACACTTCTCTTCTTCCTCGCTCTCTTCACCGCAGCTTTCATCTCCTCCTTATGGGTTAGTTATTGTCATTTTTTTCAGCTTATTACACAATCGCGCGCTTGATTATTGATTAATTTATGATTCCATGCACGCAGTCAACACTTTCTACAACTAACATCAAACCGACAACAAAAACCGTCGCAAACCAAACGTTAGCAGTAAATGTTCCAAGCAGAGAAGAAACAACAAAACAAAGTTCAACGTTACTGAATTGTAGCAGAGGAAACCAAACAACATGTTCAAGCGATTATCCGACAACATCTTCGGAAACAGAGAAGAACGAGGCAACATGTCCGGAAACCAAACAACATGTTCAAGCGATTATCCGACAACATCTTCGGAAACAGAGAAAAACGAGGCAACATGTCCGGAGTACTTCCGGTGGATTCACGAGGATTTAAAGCCATAGAAGGAGAAAGGAGGATTTAAAGCCATAGAAGGAGAAAGGAATAAGCAGAGCCATAGAAGGAGAAAGGAATAAGCATAGAAATGTTGGAAATGGCAAAGAAAACGCGCATGTTGGTGGTGAAAAACGGAAAAGGTTATGTTGAAATTTACAAAGAATGCGAAGTGTTTTCACGATTTGGGGATTTTGCAATTACTGAGAAGGTATCCTGGGAAAGTTGCAGACATGGAAATAATGTTTGATTGTAATGATAAGCCCGTGGTGCCTGTGGGCTTGTATGATGGGCCCAACGTGACAGGCCCGCCACCTGTTTTTGGGTATTGTGTTGATCGGTGGACGCGGGACATTGTTTTTCCTGATTGGTCTTTCTGGGGTTGGTATGTTTCTAAATCCTATTCATTTTGCATGCTTTGTTTTATTTTGGAATGATTAGTTGTTATTGCTTGTTTTATTTCACTTGAATTCTAGTGCAAGCAAGCACTTATCGAAACAACCCCGTCCCGAGAACTTTATCAAAATACATTATATATGTGCAAACAAGGCCTTTGGAATGTTTAGATAAATATAGATTGAGACTGAACTATTGTAATATTAGTTGTGTTCTTTGAAACTGATTAATCAGGCCAGAGATTAATATAAGACCTTGGGAGCATGTACTGAAAGAGATAAAAGAGGGAAATAAAAAGGTGAAATGGAAAGATAGAGAACCTTATGCTTATTGGAAAGGAAATCCTTATACAGCAGCAATAAGACTAGATTTCCTCAATTGTAATGTTTCAACTGATCATGATTGGAATCTTCGTATATTCACACAGGTACATGATACATACATATTCATATCTATAGATTCTTTTATTACATTCAACAAAATGATAATATAATATTTGGATTGGATATAAGAGTCTAAACAAGGATTCAATCACTCAAACTTGGCAGACCAATGTACATACAGATACAAAGTTTATATTGAAGGGTATGCATGGTCTGTGAGTGAGAAATACATTCTAGCATGTGATTCTCCTACACTGTTTGTGAAGCCTCGTTACTATGATTTCTTCACAACAAGTTTACAACCATTGCAACGTTATTGGCCTATAAATGAAAATGACAAATGCAAATCCATTAAACATGCAGTTGAATGGGGCAATAATAATAACCAAAAAGTGAGTATCACTTCATCATCCCTCATCTATTATCACTTGTTTGAAATGCAGATAATAATGTGCAACAACTTGACAGGTACAAGAAATTGGTAAAGCTGGGAGCAGGTTTATTCATGAAGACCTCAACATGGATTACATTTATGACTACATGTTTCATTTACTAAATGAATATGCGAAACTCCTCAAGTTTGAGCCAAGAGTGCCTGAAGGAGCTGTGGAATTGTGCCCTGAGTCCATGGCTTGTACACGACCACATTCGACCGAGAAGGAATTTATGAGCGAATCCATGGTTAACGAGCCGTCTACGAAAGATCCGTGCTTGTTGCCACCTCCATTCGAGCCCACTATTAGTAATAATTCATATTTTATTATATTATTTTCTTAAGCCCATAAGTTTGTTAGAGGGTATTTTAGTATTTATCTTATTCTAGTAACCCTAGTTTTAGCTTATAAATAGGGTGACAATCATTGTAACTCTTAATCCTGTTTCTTCTGCCGTCATTCTTAATAAAATATTTCTACCTTTCATCATTTATTCTACCTTTGCACCAACAATTGGTATCTAGAGCTCCGGTTCAGATTCATTGGGAAACACGGGAAACACGAGTGAACGTGAGGTCTTGTGTGTTTGATTTTGATTCTTAGATTCGTGTTGAATCTTGAACAAAATCTGATCAGAATTTTATTTTGTGGGTTGGGAAACACTGTGTGAGAAATCTGAGTGTATTGTGCAAGGTAGAAGATGAACGGAAACGGCAACATGAACACCAAACTTCCAGTATTTGATGGTAAAAACTGGAATCGTTGGATGATCCAAATGCGTGTACTATTTGGTGCTCAAGATGTTCTAGATCTTGTCACTGATGGTTATGTTCCAGTAGCAGCAGATGCAACAGATGAACAGAAAAACGCGCAGAAGGAAGTAAGGAAGAAGGATCAGAAAGCATTATTCTTTATTCATCAATGTGTTGATGTAAATGTGTTTGAGAAGATTGCAGATTCAACGACAGCAAAGGCTGCGTGGGACACACTGGTTAGATGTTATGGTGGTGACGCATCAGTGAAGAAGGTGAAGCTTCAGTCCTTGAGAAAGCAATATGAGAATCTCAACATGAAGAATAATGAGAAAGTTTCTGAATACATCTCCAGAGTGATTCTGATCACTAATGAGATGAAGGCGTGTGGAGAAACTCTTTCTGAAGAAACAATCATGGAGAAGATATTGAGATCCCTTACCTCTCAATTTGATTACATTGTGGTAGCAATAGAACATTCCAAAGATCTGAGTACCATGAGAATTGAAGAGCTGCAGAGCAGTTTAGAAGCGCAAGAGTTGCGTTTGACCGAAAGAACTTTTGAAAGGGAAGTAGAGCAGCAGGCTCTGAAAGCAACTTCTGATAGGAGGTATCAGAAGCAGGCAGAAGCCAGGAGAAGATCTGATGGTGGTCAGAAGTCAGAAAGCTCAACCTCTGATAGACAAAAGAATGCTCAGAAGGGAAAAGAGAAGTATGACAAGAAGAAGATCCAATGTTACTGTTGTAAGAAGTTTGGTCACTTTGCTAGAGATTGTTGGTCAAACAAGGAGAAGAAATCAGAAGAAGCAAATATAGCCAGAAGTTCTGATGATGAATCTGTGCTATTGATGGCCTCTGAATCTGATGATCTGACAGACTGGTGGTATATGGACACTGGTTGTTCAAATCATCTTACTGGAAACAAGAAATGGCTGGTTGACTTTGACTCTGAAAAGAGGACAAAGATCAGATGTGCTGATGACAAATATCTTAATGCAGAAGGTATGGGAAATGTCAGAGTGACTCTGAACAATGGGAAAACAGCATTGATTCAGAACGTGTGGTATGTACCTGGCATCAGAAGCAATCTGATGAGTGTGGGACAATTAATTGAGAAAGGTTTTTCAGTTACCATGAAGGACAATCTTCTGAAGCTGTATGACTGCAATCAGAAGTTGATTATGGAGTCAGAACAGGGAAGGAATAGAACATTCAAGGTGAATGTCAGAACTGCAGACTCAGAATGTCTTAGTGCAACATGTGCTGAGAAGGAGAGTGAGTTGTGGCACAGAAGATTTGGTCATTTGAATTTCAGAAGCCTAAAACATCTGAATTCAAAGAAGCTGGTACATGGAATTCCTGCAATTAAGAAGCCTGAAAAGTCATGCAAAGTTTGCATGGAAGGAAAACAACCAAGATTGCCATTTGCATCAGAAGTTGCTCCAAGAGCAAAACATGCCTTGGGAGTTGTACATTTTGATGTGTGTGGTCCATTTCCAGTAGCATCAATTGGAGGGAATAAATACTTTGTGTTGTTTGTTGATGAATTCACAAGAATGACATGGGTATCCCTTATTAAGTTCAAACACGAGGTGTTTGATGAATTCAAGAAGTTCAGAATGAAGGCTGAGAATCAGAGTGGTCAGAAGTTGAAGATTCTTAGAACTGATGGTGGAGGTGAGTATAACTCCAAAGAGTTCCAGAAGTTCTGTGAGGAGAATGGAATTGAGCATGAGGTTACTGCTCCTTATACCCCTCAACACAATGGTCTTGCTGAAAGAAGAAACCGTACTTTGCTTGATATGGTGAGAAGCATGCTAAAGGAGAAGAAGCTTCCTCAGAAGCTCTGGGGAGAAGCTGTTGCCACTGCAACGTATGTACTCAACAGATGTCCTACGAAGAAGTTGAAGGAAATTGTTCCTATGCAGAAGTGGACTGGAGACAAGCAAAGTGTTAGTCATCTGAAGGTATTTGGTTCTGTTTGCTATAAACATGTTCCAGAAGCCAGAAGACAGAAGCTGGATGATAGAAGCAAAGTGATGATTCTGATAGGGTACCACAGTACAGGTGCATACAAGCTCTATTGTCCAGAAACCAATAAAATTGAATTCAGCAGAGATGTGATTGTGAAGGAATCAGAAGTTTGGAATTGGGATAAGTCCCAATCTGATTCTGATGTTAGAACCTCTGAAGAAAGGCCAGAGTTAAGAATTTCTGAAGTTGAAGTAAACCCTGATATTGACTCTGACTCTGATACTGATTCAAACTCTGAAGAAGACTCAGAAGATGAAGGTGACCCAGACTCTGATGATTCAGACTCTGATGGCAATCCAGATCTTGGTGGCAATTCAGACTCTGGAAATATGCCAGACTCTGAAGATGGTCAAAGCTCTGGAGGTCAATCATCTGAAGCTAGAAACTCTGAAGCTCAAGACTCTGAACAAGTTCAGAGACCACAAAGAATCATAAACGTTCCCAGAAGATATGCAGAATTTGACATGCTGCAAGACACTGAAGTAGACTCTGAAGGAGAAATTATTCAGTGTGCCATGATGGTAGATTCTGAACCCATAAGTACAGAAGACGCTCTTAAGCAGAAACTCTGGCTGAAGGCCATGAAAGAAGAACTTGATGCTATAGAGAGAAACAAGACTTGGAAGCTGACAGAACTTTCAAAAGACAAGAAAGCCATCAGCGTCAGATGGGTTTTCAAGCAGAAGTTAAAGCCAGATGGCTCAATTGGCAAACATAAAGCAAGGTTGGTAGCCAGAGGATTTCTACAGAAACCTGGGCTGGATTATTCTGAAGTGTTTGCACCTGTAGCAAGACATGAAACAATCAGAATGGTGATTGCAATAGCTGCTAACAGGAATTGGCCTCTGATGCATTTAGATGTAAAATCTGCATTTCTGAATGGTCCATTAGAAGAAGAAGTTTACGTGTCACAACCTCCTGGATTTGTGAAAAAGAATCAGGAAGGGATGGTGTACAGATTATACAAAGCTCTATATGGACTGAAACAAGCGCCCAGAGCTTGG